TTGAGAACGTGACATTACTTACTTGGATTGACCAAGGTTTACTTGAGGGTGTCGTCGATGAAGCAGAAATCGCTTACTCATACGGAACACTAGGTCTTATGACTTACTTTTCCAGGAGTATCCATGGGTGTTTATGATTCTGATTATGTTAATATATTGTTCTTTGTTGTTGTTTTTGCTCCCCTAAGAATCAATAACACGAAGAAGTTGCCTTATTTTATCAGGCATAAACACGTATCTACTCTGAGTGAAGTTCAAGTGATGGAATATTTACACCTGCTAATTTGCCGTCTCGAAATTTCAATCATAAATAGCTGATGTGGTCGGTATACGCTTCCATAATATGAAGTGTTGATGTACGTGTATATAAACACTGAATTGTGGCGAGTAAAGGAATGTAAATATTTAAATTAGGGATTAAATTCTGACAGCGTTGTGGTTAATACGTGGTGTTGTGGTAGAGATAATTTAATTGAAGATGCTAATTATTAAGGAACCAAATCGATGAAACCTAGAAGACGACTGAGGAAGGTCCAAATTGGTCGAACGAAATGTAGAAATCCAGATGACAAGGTGAATTATATTAAGCCTTCAATAAATCACTTGTACAGTAGAAATTCGTTGCCGAAATTTCGTTAAGTCGCATTTACTTTTCAATCCCTTCAATTGTAAAGCAAGAAGAGTCATTCGTTGTCTCGAATTTAATTTTTGTTAAAGTTTCTGGTAGCGGATCAAAAGCAAATTTTATTTTCGTTTTATTGTTGTTTCGTTAAATATATGATCTATATCTGCTTTGTCTATAACGGTAGTGTACAAGTGAGCGGGACAGAATGACGTAAGTACACCTGCATTTGATTGGTATTATTACATGATTTGTTGTTTGGATTAATAAACAAAAGGAGAAAGTAGAAATATATTTGTTTATCTTTTTTAACTGCCATTGTATATATACAATATATATTGTGATTTTTTCATTATTGATTGATTTCAACACAATGTCATGCACGTTGACCACGTTTATATATTTTGAAACGCCCCACTGTTCAAGTCAATAAAGACATGCCTCAACTCAATTAATTTCTTTCGGTGAATAATTCCCTTGAAACAGCGTCTCATAAACGTAATTATTTCGTTTCACCATAAACTGAACATTTTCACATAAACCTTTAATATTCAAATGGTCTGCTAATTTAGATGTTTCGGCTCATTTAATGAAATGCGTTAAAGTCATGAATAAAGTTTAATTATGTAAGTAGTTCAATATGATCCTTAGGTAATATTTCGCAACAGCATGACGATGTCTACTTCATGAACTAGAAAATTAGAATACAGGTTCATTGATGTGCGCATTTTCTAAAAATAACGTGTTTATCCGCAACTGAAACACGGAATCTCTCTATATAAGGCATTCGTAACTGTTATTTTAACAGCGAGCTGAGAGCTGGATAATATATATACATCTCCCTACCACAGATCTGTTGACGCCTACGAAGAGTCCACGTTAAAAACAGGTTTGCATAATTTGGATTGATAGTCAGATCGATGGTTCCAATGCACACACAAATTACTAATTGATCACATCAATCATATGACTTAATCATATATAGACGTTAATGCAGAGATGATTGATATCATATCGTTACAATACACGTAATTATTCATATTATCGGAATACACCTGCCACATATAGTTTGCTGTATTCGGCAGTGACGGAAAAGAGAACCGCTCCAATATATTGTTTTTGGACATCGACAATAATTTTGACTTTGTAGCAGCATCGCTTTGTTAAGAAAAACAAAAAGACACCACATCAAAAACAAATTTTCTTATTCCTACATTTATTGGCTTTATATCAGAAACACGTTTTATATTCAGTTTAACTAAATTATTTTAAATGTTTCCTGTTCTTTTTACTTTTCTTCAGAGCCCCATTGTAGTATGCCATAAGAACTATGGTTGATCGAAGACATCACGAATGACAAATGAAAAATTCAATTCAATTTTATAAGAAGCAATTATGTTATTAAACGGCATATAATCAATATGTGTATTTTGGGAAAATGCTTGTTCAGAAATTTTATTAAATTTGTTAATTATTTTCACTGTGAGAAATCAAAGTTTTTCATATATGAAATAAGTTTTTAAAGTATACTGTACGTCTATTATATGTATATCATTTATCTATTAGGGAATATGCCTGACCTCTCAAATACAAGCTTCCATTTCCCTCATCTCACTTTACTCTAAAATGGTGATTGAGATCCTGTTTTTTTCAATTAACAGTATGAAATTAAATAAAAGAAGTTATGTATCAATCCAATTATAAGCTGAATAAACATATTACCACTATAGAACAAACAAATTGAAAATTGCCTGGTTTAACTTTTCATTTATTGATAACAATTATTTTCAAGAATGAGTATTAAATTGTAAAGAGTTACATTATATATTTGAAATAGTGAATTATTAGAATTTATAAAATGTACAATAGTTTGCTCTCTCTAAGCTACTGTTATATTCTTCATCCATTTCAAAAGAGGAAACTAATACAGCAAATAAAGTCAGATTAAAGTCAAATTAATTAATAAAGACATGATAGTGACATATGTCAAAGAATGTAAAACAACATCCTGATCAAATTAATTACTAAACTCGTTATAGTGACATATGTTTTGTTGATATAATCGAGACGATGCAAAATTATTTCTCATTTTAAAATTTTGAATAATTCATTAAAGACTTGATTTGTCCTTTACTTGGTTGAAAATATTGCTCTGAGAGGGTTAATTAAGCCAAGTAAATGTATTAATTAAAAATTAAGTTTATTACTAAAGGAATGATATTGGTGCAAACATTTATAAAATTTATGGCTAATATACTGCAGGTAATGCACAATATTAACATATTTTTCTTTCATACATGAAACAAGAAGCTATCAATCAAATTGTAATATCATCGCAGTATTTAAAAAATGACTTTCGATTTGTTTTTGGCTGCTAAAAGAAAGCTGAAATAATACAAATATCATAAGACCGTGGGACAGTTATTTCAGTGATATAACATACAAATATAACTGAACTGATTATTATGGTATTCTTTATATAAAGTAGGAGCCGCCATCTTGGTTCTGCCTGGAACCCTCAGTCAAAGCGTGCCAGATTACCCACTGAAAAAGGTCCGGAACGAAAACGGGTAGTACGTTTATTGGTTCGACCGGTTTGTCCGCTACAACTGCATAAAAGAAAAGGCCCAGCTGTATTTTAGGACGTGCGGTAATTCGACAGAATTTCTTTCTAAATTCACTTTAAAATTACTTTAATGATATAAATAACTGTTAAAATAAGTAATTGTATATGTTGTAATGAATGAATTTAATTACGAAAAATTATATAATCGCTGCCATATCCGTTAATGTTTGGAACTATATTTCTACGCGGACAATTTTTTTTATTTTTGCCTACGTCATCAGGCAAAAATAGGTGTAACGTCAACGAGACGTATACAAAGACTGAACAATAAAACTACTGAAGTTTTTATTGTCTGATTGCAAGATAAATAGAATACATGGTCAGTGTCTTCACACTCGCCAAAATACAGCATATATTTTTAGACACTGACCATGTATTCTCTATATAATATACACTACTGTATATATTGTACAATACACTCATATAGTCCCATGATATCACAAATATGTATCGTACAATACTCTCATAAAATGACGTAGTACCGAAAATTTTCAGCATAACACAACACATTCGTGTCATAGTATTCCTCACAAGAATTTTTTTTTTATAAAAAAGATGCAAACAAAATAAAAACGAGAAACAATAGCTATACTCATCTTCGGTTACAGTTATACGATACAATATTTGTATAATACACTAATGTACAATTATACAAATTGAATGTTTGAATTGTATTGATCGTGTATCGTTATATTTTAAATGTTTCTCTTAAAACAAATAAACCGAGCAAGATACGTTAGTATTTCAACATTACATTAATAATAATATTTTCATTTGATAAACAAATGGATTAACGATATCACAATTAGGTATTTATGTTTTTTTGAAGTCTGACAGATACATTTGAATACATAAACATATAATGATTATCTCCAACAATAGATTCTATCTTTACATTCTATTCTACCTCATCCCCCAGTTTCTTCTTGTAAAATATTTCACCAGCTTGTGACTTACTTATAAATATTCTATCTATCTGTTAAGCAGTAACGGTATTATTAATATCATCTTGAATTTTTCATTTAAAAGGATAATTGTTTGGCCTCGTGAAGAAGTTTCAATTACAGTATAACATAGTTTTATGGCTCTGAAAAGAAAATAATTTTGCAATCAGCATAAAGTCACTCTTAAATTTGTGCTGTTAGATACTAGTATATCCTTAATACATCAAATCTTAAAGTCTACGCATTAATTTTATGTAAATACAATGTAAAATAATGTACATTTGTTTTCTTACCTGTAATTACTTTATACTAGAACGTTAGATTTCGAAATTTCATTTCGGTATTAAGACATTACCTCCGGTTTCGCAGTAGACGACTTAATCACATAATCTGTCTGTTATAGATTGATGAAACTCGTCTCGCAGTTTCTGTTCTTACTCGCCAAGGATGAAGCAAGTTTCATAAAATATTGTATGAAATGAAACCCCATTGGAGGTCCTTTTTGTATCTCCTGTGGAATTACAAGAGTTCATAATAGTTCAAAGAACTTTGAATTCAATTACTTTGTGTTCCCAAAAGTGTGAAATAACCATGTTGTAAGTAAACAAAATTTTTTTCCGACTGTTGCAATTTTGTGCTGCAGGGTAGTTTCTATATTCCTTGTGATTAATAAGAGAATGTTGATTAATATTAGTGTAATTAAAAATTGAAATTATTCTACAATACACAAATAGGTTAAATCTCGACATATCATATATTTTTGTACTATTCTTTTCAGACTCTGCGCGGCGAGCTCTCAGACGTCAACATGGCCGAATTCACAAGGATTAGAGAAACAATAAATAATTTGAAGAATCAATGTAATAAAATAGAGAACGAGACAAAACTGAACACCACACCAATCACTGACCAAACAATTATTCAACAGCAGGTAGAGACACAAGAACAAACGATCAAACTTCAGTTCCAAGGTAAACCGTCATGGATAACAGGCATGGTAATTCTACCCTCTGGAAAACTACTTCTTGTTGATAATAAGAACGAAGCTCTGTCCATATTCAGCGTCTCCTTCGACTTCTTGATTACAAAACACATTCATCCAGCACCGTATGACGTAGCATCCATCTCTTCCACACAAGATCGTGTGATGCTATCTGTCCCGAGCACACAGGAACTAATGAGGTGTGACGTTTTGCTGGATAATGCCTTTTCAGTGGGTCGAAAGTTGAAAATCAGCATCGCATGCAAGGCGGTAGCGTCTGACGAAAGATATGTGGCTGTATGCTCTGATTCTGAGTTGCAAATTTTTGAAGCAGAGGCTGATACATTATCGATTATTCTAGATGAATCTTACGAAACGACAGGTTTCACCTACATTGCAATGAACTCTTCGGAGAGGAAGATTTTCATTACTGACCAAACCATTTGTGATCCTCATATAAACTGCTTTAACTTTAACGGGGAAACTTTGTGGAAAATCAATGACGGACGACTGAACAAATGCACTGGAATTTGCGCCATTGGTACGCAACTAATGTTTACGTCTTGGGAATCAGGTCAAATGTTCACTTTGTCAAGTAACGGAGGTGATTTGAAAATGACAAAGCATTCTGTAAGGTTTCCATGGAAACTTTATATATCTGAAAGACAAAACAAGATTTGTGTCTCACAGTATAACAGCACATTAGCTGAAGAGGAAAAACGAACAGTGAAAGCTTTCACAATGATATGATTCCATACATTACATACAACATATACCAAGCCCCCTCCATAATAAAACTGACATTGTTTTGTCTATACATGGAAGCAATTATAATAACTGATTTATATCAAATATTTAATCCAGATTGACGTATGATACTTTGAACATCTTAAAACATCCTATAGTATGTTAATTGGGAAATGTCTACATTATAACTCAGAAAGAACACATTAAGTTAAGAAAACGGGCTATAAACTCATTTTCATGTTTGTTACAACAACAAATCAGTTGTAGGTTATTGTGACTTTAGTCTTTCGTACAATCTATTCTTGTGGACTATTAGTCATCAAGGTTTGCCGTAACTGTATTTGCCTTATTTTCATATATTCATATAATGACATGGTTCAGGATATACACAAGTGCTTGACGTTTTTTCTGAAACAATCAAACATAAAAGAAAATTAAGAACTTATTTCATAGGGCTAGTGCATCTCAGGGTCTAGACTCTTTTTTTTTTTACATTTCTCTCGATTACTTACGTTGTTTCTCTGTCGCCACCTACGTTTCGATATTTAGGCATTTGCTTATGTGTCCTAGAAGGACAATCCAGCCGTATGTACAGTTAAATCACTTTCCATTTGTGTGTCTTTTGTGCAGTATTTATAAGCAATATCAAGTATTTGAGCGATAAGACAGAATCAGTTTCCAAAAAAGACGTGAATTCATCACCTTTTCATATCCACGTAGATTGAAACGACTCGGAAACTCACACCAATTAACTTGGTCCTCTATCGGCATGTTTCCTAACATAATGTGAGACATTATCTGAATTTGTAGAAAGATTGCTCTGAAATGTCTTCGGACTTATAGACTAATAAAGCCATTTTTGTTTGAGTATTTCTTTTTTTTATTCATTTATCTGTACTGAACTAGGTAAAATAGCTGGCACTGTTAATACACTTAGTTCCAAAATTATTCATGTCAAGATACGTGTTAGCACTTTTGATGACCAAGTGAAACATATATTTCAAATGTCAGCAATGTATTGATTTTAACCGTGACTGCAGTTCTAGCTCACGGTGGTTGGAACACAAACTTGTGCAATGTATGATGGCTGTTAGTGAGTGTGTAAAAATAACAAGGAAAGTACATACATCAACAGAATCTTAATTGGAAACCAAACCAAGTACGATAATCAGACCAAGTGTTCGGGAAAGTAAAGCATCCTCTACTTTATGGAGGGCACCCACAATGTAAATATTTGTCAAGCCGGGTACTTAAAGTTCCAAATTGAGAACAAGGCAAACAAGAACGGAACCAGCATGAAGTTTCATAACAATTGTACAAAAGAAAAGAACTTGACAGAGCAATGATATAGAAAATTTATAGTGCAGTTATGTCTATTTGGAGCACGTGGACGGTGTTTACAGTGCTCCGAGTAATATGTGAATTCTAATTTTACTGGTTCGAGACCATCGTCTAATGATGTGTATACGTCTGCCAATTGACGTAACTGAATCTTTATTTTGCAAATGAAGTATTCCAATGCATTTGGAAAATTCCTATTGAATATGTATTGACTAGTACATAACATGCCTGTGACAAGCGAATCGTGAACTGTTAAAACGTTCATGTACATACAAAGCAAGGCACGCGCCTATTAGAACTGTAGTGCCTCGCATATATATAAATACATATGTCTGACAACCATTCAGTAACTACAAAAAGAGCACTTTCATCTGCATCTACTCCCTCTCCTATTTGTAGAGACAATAAAAGGTGATAATTTTTGTCGTTTCCATTATCCGGCAGCGTGTTTGAAACACGATGGCTAATAACCACTAATGTCCCCGGCGCCGTCAGACAGATGACCTGGAAATGTATGGCAGGAACTCTGGTGAAATGTTCCGGCTTTCCCGAGCTGGAAAATGAAAACACAACGGTAACGATCCTGCAAGCAGCCCAATAATGCAACGTTGACCTCCCATCCTACCATCAGAAGCAGTGGAACGTCACGCAAGCCAGACCACAGGAGTAAAAAGCCTCAGTAGATAACTTTGTGTCCTAATTCGGTCGACGCAAAGTCCAGCAATATTTTTCCATCAACGAGGACCTTATGACATTCCGCGAGAAATTGGCATAATGCGCAAGGCGTCTCGTTAAATCTAAGAAGATTCTACAGACTGGAACCACGAACAGTAAAGTGCTGATCAAAGATAAATCATATAAAGTTCATCAGACAAGACGGGAATCTGAACTTGAGCCCTTCGGGCATGTAGTGATGGTCGCTTAGTCTGTGTCGGCTGAGCCAGCACGTCGACAGCGACGGCTGTTTTGATTCCATTAATGTCCACATCTACGAGCATAACCTGATTGCTCAACCTTGCTCTATGTGTGTTACGCTTAATGTCCAACCTTGCTCTATGTGTGTTACGCTTAATGTCCAACTTTGCTCTTTGTGTGTTACGCTTAATGTCCAACTTTGCTCTATGTGTGTTACGCTTAATGTCCAACTTTGCTCTATGTGTGTTACGCTTAATGTCCAACTTTGATCTATGTGTGTTACGCTTAATGTCCAACTTTGCTCTATGTGTGTTACGCTTAATGTCCAACTTTGCTCTATGTGTGTTACGCTTAATGTCCAACTTTGCTCTATGTGTGTTACGCTTAATGTCCAACTTTGCTCTATATGTGTTACGCTTAATGTCCAACTTTGCTCCTGTCAAATATCTTAATTCGTGATTATTGTTGTTCTGGTTTGTTGTGCTTAATGTCTAACTATGCTATTGCCTATTATCTTGATTCGCAGCTATGTTCTGTTCTTTTCCTGTAATGCCCAATATCCTACTATGACAAAGTCAAATATCTTGATTCAAGATTATTTTTGTTCTATTTTTGCTGTGCGTAATGTTCAGTTATGCTACTGCCAAATATCATGATGTTGTTTTCTTGTTTGCCCTATTTATTTTAATATGCTTGATATTCATTCGTGCTTTTTTCAAATATCATTATTGTATTCCTTTGAGAGCTCTATTTCCAACTATACCACTTTCAAACTTCTCTATGCGGTTATTCTGTTAGCCCTACTTGTGCTACGCTAAGTGACCGATTACGCAACTGTCAAATTTCTCTATGCGTTTTGATATTTTTGTCCTACTTTTGTTGTGCTTACTATCCATTCCCGATATCGTTAAATACCTTGGATTGTATTACTCTGTTCGACCTACTTGTGCTACGCTAAGTGTCCGATTACGCAACTGTCAAATATCTTGATGTGTTGAAATATTTTGTCCTATTTTGTTATGCTTACTATTCATTCCTGCTGTTGTTAAATACTTTGGATTGTAGATATGCTTAACGCCCAATTATGCTTCTTTCAAGAATATTTAATCATATTTTTACTAGTTTGTTAGGCTTTAATCAGTTCATGCTAGTGTGAAACATTTTGATTGCGTTGTTTAGGTTGCTAAATTCTTATTTTGCTTAATATTCATTTATGCTCCTGCCAGATACTTTGAGTGTATCTTTTGTTTGTCCCCTTTTATGTTATGCTCCATATTCAACTATGCTTCTGTCAAATGTTTTTTTATTCGAATGTCATTATACGTTTTCGTATGTAGTGTTCCCCACATATAAGACCTTAAAGGACAGTTTTAAGCGAAGCAGACATTTTAACAAAACATTCCTGTTGTGAATTTTGAATGACCTTTACTCCAAATCCTATTAAAGCTAGTCGTTAACGTAATTCAATGTACATATAATGTGTTTGATGTGTCATATTGGCATTCCTATTTATTGTAACACCTTAAGACCCCACAATCACAAAGTATGTACATTACCATTTGTTATAGTTTGTCTGCATACCTAGAATTTAATTTATCATTTGTAAATCAACCCTAATAGCGGTTTACGTTGCGATTAATGTCTATATCACCTCCACTACCTCCTGTGTAGATAACTTGTGAAATATTTGCAAGCGAATACATTTTATGAAATGTTAGTTTGTATCTAATGTTGATACTAAAATCACAATGATGGAAAACAATGTATATGGGATATATTCATCGTTAATTCGATGCATAATTATCCATTGCACACAAAACTTTTAGAGCAAACAAATGTTCTATCTTCACCTCTGATTTCACAATGTAATCGTATTAAGACATGTAACTGTACCATCGATATTGCACATCCAGGTTTATGTTGTAACTATGCTTCAGAGGAGACTGTCACGACCTTTCGACCGGAAGTATCCACATATGGGTGTAATGGAGTCTCTGTAAGTTTGGAAGGGCGTGTCATACCCCTTAGGTCTATTCTACTACATCTATAGTACCACATAAATTGAGTGAAGTGTCAAATCCAGTTACTAATTAACCCTAACACTCTCTCTCTACTCCCTTCTCCACCTAACACCTCATCAACTCCCGTGTATGAACGTTTTTACTACTTGCATTTTTTCTTGTTTCTTACCTTCTTTTTCCAATCCAATCTCCACTTCCTGTCATGCCTTTGATAGCACTTCCAATTTCGTAAGACACCTCTTCTACAATATTCTTTATACTTCCTCTTTAAATTAACTTATCCAGCTAGAATTGGTGTCTTCCCTACTGCATCCAGTCGGCAAACTTAGTTCTGTAAGTGAACATTATAAATTCAATACCCCTGTTGATTTCAATATTACTGAATTGCTAGGATTTCTTCTTCCATCTCAGCGTTCAAAGTATTTTAAATGAGCTCGATGTATCATACACTGAAACTTGGTTAAAGAGCCAGACCCACTCCTCAACCGATATTATTTTATATAAAAAAAATGATTTTCTATTTTTCTTGAGTAGCAAAAGTTCTGACTAACCCTGTAATAAATCGCTACCGATCTAACGTAATAAATAGTTTTAAAAAAGAATTCGAAACGACACAGTGCTAATTCATAATTATGCGGGAAGTCCTGCCTTCTGACGCATGCGCAAAGAACTGTAAATTGCCGTCTTCCAACATGGCAGAAAGCGTGCAAGGGAAGCGGGAAAGCG